AATGTAGGTGGCGCTTTTGCGGCGAGAATGCAATCCCAAACGTGGCTGAGCTTGTATCCCCCCTCGTCCCGGTTCATCACTGGGGTTGATTTCCTTATCCAGACTGCTTCTTTAATCCAACGGATTCTTCTGTTGTCCTCCCTATCTATGACCCTGGCACCCTCCCAGTCTATCACACAATTGTTTCTGGCAACATGGTAAGCAGGTGAGAAACTCTATGGTTGTGTAAGAAGAAAATTCTATACCCTAACCTAATTCAAATTGAACGACAGTCCACCTATAGCTACATGCCATTATATCGTAACGTAAAGTCATAGCATTCCGTGTATGTATGTGGTCGTACGGTAAAAACCTGCACGGTACTTTTTACCCTAACCTAGTAGTATAAAAACTCTTATATTAACACTATAAAACCCAATAAGCACAGCTTTACTACCTAATGGAAAGTAAAGCTGTCGGTGGACAAAACATATTTGTCACGGTACTGATTTTATCTCCTGATCACACAATGGACGACGTCTCGTGCTAACCCATGCCACAGGCAAACTGACCTGTGTGGCTGTCTACTGTCTCTGCTATGTCAAAGGTGGCGCTTTGATACTTCAGTGAATACCTGGATAATTGGGGGTTAGACGGGTTGGACGCCATGTTAGACTCACTAGTGACACAGTTGGCGTGAACAATACTGTGTGTACTGGGGGCCGTCAACATTCACACAGGTAGGAGTATTTCTCGAACACTCTCTTAAATCCTTTGAGAAGTTATCAGCCTCCTGTTGCTGTGGGCATGGTTTACTAAGACACTTGTTTGAACCATTCTTTAAATTATCAATGGTTTGTTTCAGTACTAGAAACCATGTGTTAGTGACTGTCTGTTTCTTCTACATGCTTTGCCTAATTAGTGACGCTGAAGTTGAACTTGAAGGTTTCGATCATGTTCTAGCTCATCAATACATGTTGTATGTAAATATATGTAGGTATGTTGATACAAGTAGTAGGATACGTGATCGGATTCACAATCACAGGTATGTACAATTATAGTGAGCCTCAAGCGATACGTTTGGAGATCAAGAATTTGTAGCTAGAAGCTAGTTTCGTCCAGCTTGCATTGTTTACATATTTTACAGCCTCAGTAATATTAACAACAACCTTCGCCATCTTTCCGGTAATGTTTGTTTGTGCTTGTCATAATTATCAGAGAATCCCAGTCAGTCAGAAAACTTTACAATTTTTACCATAACATCTACTTGGAGATTGGGTTGAAGCCATGAAGCTATGACTGGATTGTCATGGTATTTAGTATGTGGGCAGGTCTTTGGTCATACAATGGAATGGCTAGGTGTTCGGCAGGTTTTTGTAGCAATGATCTTTGTATCACGTAGGGGTGATCAATGGGAAATCTGCATGCACTTAAGGTGATGAGTACAATGTGTCTTACATCGTGTTGTAAGCCAAGTGAATTAACTTTAACTCCTTAAACACAAACTGTTCCCAGCCTCATGTAAGTTCTCAGACACCAGCGACGCCATGCGGAATTACAGCGCGTCGTACCGGGCTGCTGCACGCGGCGTCCTCTGTCTCCTGTGGGTCGTCACTGCTGCCTCCGCCTGCCCGGAGTACTGTAGCTGTGTTCTCAGAAAGGTTGACTGTTTCGGGAGGGAACTCAAACACGTTCCCCGCGACATACCTTTGAGAACACGGTACCTCCACCTGGGCCTCACCAGCATTCAGAACCTGCCTGACGCGGTTTTCTCCAACCTTACCAGCCTGAGGGGGCTTCTTCTGCGCAACAACCACATCCCCCGCCTCCCTGCCGGAGTCTTCTCACATCTCAGTCGTCTGTCCTACCTATATCTCTCTAATAACCACATAGCTGACCTCCCTGTCGGGATATTCTCACAGCTCAGTAGTCTGAACGACTTGTACCTGTCCAACAATGACGTCACAGATCTCCCAGATGGCATATTTTCAAACTTGGTCCGTTTGAAATGGCTGGAATTGGACAACAACAGCATCTCCAGCCTCCCCGCCGGAGTGTTCTCGCGTCTCAACCGACTGGAACTGTTGAGTATGAATAACAATGGCATAGTAGATCTACCTGATGGAGTTTTCTCACATCTTATCAGCCTAGAAAAACTGTATCTCTCTAACAACAGCATAACCCATCTACCAGAGGGAGTGTTCTCACATCTCAGAAGCCTGCGACACTTGTACCTGTCTAACAATGACATACAGGCACTTGAGAAGGAAGTATTTTCAAGTCTCGTCAATCTAAGACATTTGTACTTAAATGGCAATGACATAAGGGACCTTCCGGCCGAAGTATTTTTAAATTTGACAAGTTTGAATCGGCTTTCCCTGTCCAACAACAGCATCTCGAGTCTGCCTAAAAGAGTGTTCTCAAATCTCGTCAACCTGACACAGTTGAACCTGACTGACAATAAGATAGAAGAACTACCGGGTGAAGTCTTTTTCTATCTGACGAGCTTGGAACTGCTCTCACTCAGAAACAATAGCATCTTACGTCTTCCCGTGGAAGTATTTTCTCACCTCAGTAACCTGTCAACGTTACATCTGTCCAACAACAACATGGAGGATCTCTCAAACGGAGTGTTTTCAAATCTCACAAGTTTGCTTCATCTCTTCCTGTCTGACAATAACATCTCGCGTCTTCATCCAGGATTATTCACAAATCTCAGCCGTCTGATCTCTGTAGATCTGCGTGGGAACCGATTATCTGATCTCCCAGAAGGAATATTCTCACACTTAAGTAGCCTGATAGTGCTGATACTGGCTAACAATGCCATAGCAGATCTAAATGACGGGGTCTTGTCAAATCAGACCGGTTTGAAACTTCTCGACCTGTCCAACAATGATATCTCGCTACTTTCCGCTGGGGTTTTCTCGCACCTTAATAGCTTAGAAACGTTAGTGTTAGCTAACAACGGCATCCAGGAGCTCCCACATGGAGTGTTCTCACACTTTAGTAAGCTGGTTCTACTGCGTCTTGGGCACAACAGCATACAGAATCTGACTCGCGGGGTGTTTTCGGCTCTAACCAGGCTCCAAGAACTGGACCTGTCTAATAATGACTTATTGTTTCTTCCTGCTATGGCCTTCTCCCATCTGACCAGTCTAACCACGCTCAACCTGACACAGAACAGCTTACAGACGTTACCTGCAGACATGTCGCGTCTACCCCGTCAGACAAGCCTGGACTTACAGGGGAACCCCTGGAGGTGTGACTGTCGTCTACTGGGTTTGGTATTGGATTCGCTACGACTACGTCCGCAAGTCATCTTTCACGAAGGTCTTACCTGTAGTACCCCTCTTCATCTGGAAGGTGTCGCACTGCATAGACTGGTATATGCCTGGACAGGCGCAGTGTGTTACAACCACGGGCGCTGTACCGCGGAAAATACCTGCGATTGCTTCTTCGGCTGGACCGGTCCATACTGTAACATAGGTAAGACGTTTTTTTCCTTCAAACACAGTTTCAACAGACCAAAGTGATTTGAAAAAGTAATAATGTGCATTTCGTCCACATAATCACCGCTTTCCATTCCGGTTCATGTACAGAAGTTAACGTGGCCCTTGGAAAGACAGCAACGCAGATTTCCAACGGAAACCCTTACCAAGGCCCTGAGAAGGCGGTGGATGGGTACAGAGGGACTAGTGCCGGGACGCCCGACAACGAGTGCGCCATCACCCAGGAAGAACTCCAGCCGTGGTGGAAGGTGGACCTGGCGGACACCTACACAGTCAGCAGGGTCAGCGTCCTCAACAGAGGCGACTGGCAGGGTGAGCTGTTACCTCTCTCCCCCTCTCTCTCCCTCTCCCTCCCCCCTCTCTCTCGCTGTTTTTGGAGGAATTTTGGGTTACATGACCTCCTTGACAGTTGACAGCTGGTGTTTTCCCTTGAGATCTCAAGATGCAAGAAAGTTCACTTGTATGATCTGTTCACGTTAACTTCGGTCTTTCATCCATGGAAACCGATCCCGAAATGTTGTGGTCCTTCATCTACACAAATTATGACCAGAGTAATACTCACAGGCTGACATGTCATTTTCATGACCTGCATTTACAGAAGAAAGGCTCAGAAACTTCACGGTGAGAGTTGGGCCGAACGAGAACTTCACCCTGAATGACCAGTGTGGCCAGACTTACACGGACACTCCGACCAAAGCCCAGACCATCGAGGTGCGCTGCGAACCGCCCATGTCCGGCCGTTACGTGTCGGTACAGATAGTGGGGCGGAAAGAGTTTCTGACGCTGTGTGAGGTGGAGGTCTATATCACAGGTAAAAGCTCAATGTTTAACTCTAACAGTTTGCTTGTAATGTTGTTTTTTTTTTCATGAAATATTTTGCTCAAAATTTGCACATTTCATCATCACACCTTTTCATACACAAGTAAGTAATTAAAGACGTCCATATCTAGACAGTTCATCTGTGTTTTCAGAAGTCATTAAGAAAATTTGGGTCCAATTTCTTGTGATTATAGAAATTACAGTTTAAAGTTGCTTCATAAAGACATCTATATTACTCTCTAGTAAAACTCCGGCGACCTATATTTTGCAGAGATTATTACATAACATGTACTAAAGCTCTACATACTATAGATTTATATAATTTTCAGATAACATGATTGTTTGTGCGCCACATGTAGTATTTGAAAGTACATGTACCCTGCATTGACAATACCTTACATCTCTTGTATGATTAGTTGTAAATGATAAATTTGTATATTATTCAGAGGTGTGCTGTAACGCTACCGAAATCACCAACGGTCGAGTCATCGCGAACGACCCCTTCTGCTCTGGGAACGTGGCCATGTTCTCCTGCGACCCTGGGTACGAGCTCGTGGGCACGTTGTGGGCCACCTGCCGAGAGAACGGGAGTTATGATCAAGACATTCCGACTTGTCAACGTGAGTTTCTCTACATGTTTATATCTCCCTGTCTTTCTTTTACCAAGAACAAAATAGGTCCATTGCAGTCAACAAACTGAATCACAGTCTCCCACAGCAATATATCTTTATCGATATCGATGTTATTGAATTTGGGACTCGCGTAGACTATAAAATCTCTTTTTTTGTTGTTTGTTAAACCTATCTTATCCTCTTATAAGTCAACTTCAGTCTTAATTGTCTGATACTGAGTGCATGCTAACAAATAAAAGTATATTACATGATAGATATAGGCAGCAGCTTAATTGATAAAACTTTGTCTTTTTGTTATCGGTATGGAATCAGTGATCTGTTCTACATGGTGGAGAGGACAAAACTGCCAACGTAAGGAAACATCGTTTTGTCTCCTTGTCTTTGTCTGAGTCTCGAACTTAACGATTATACGTAAGTGTTTCAATGTAGACCTAAACACCAGAAAAGAATAGTGCATCTAACATAATATTCAAGCAGATGTTACGAGGCAAAATTGTTAATTTGTTTCAGTTTCTCATTTTTGTTGCAAACTGCCCTCCTTTGAAAAAGCTAGAATAGAGCAAAAACGCTACGATTTTGTCTTCCAACATCTGCTAGGAAATTATGTCTTAAAGAATTTTTCAACTACGTTTCAAGCATCCCTCCATGTCTGAAATTGTTTGTGAGAAAAACGACTTCTTTTCTTCCATTTCTCCCTGCAGACCTGAGTGCCTCAGCTCTCGGCGGCATCAGTGCGGCAGCAGCTCTGGTCGTGATTGTCGTGATATTCATAGCGATTATAGTTCTACTGAAAATGAGGGGAACAGGGCCCAAATACTCCCCAGTGCATGGCCAACTTACATTCTGTAAGTGCTTCGTCTTTTTATAATCACGATTGTTTTCATATTCATGACGAACGTCATTCAATGTGGGGTCGTGTGGCGTAGCGGCAGAGTGCGCGGCTCGGAACTAAGAGTCCCGGGTTCGAGTCCTGACATGCCACCGATCTTGTGCCCTTGGGAAAGGCACTTTACACGACTTTCCTCACTTAGCTCAGGTGTAAATGAGTATTGTCCTGTCATGTATTTGTCCCCTGTGTTGGTGGCGGCATTAAGATAAGTTGAAAAAACTTGAGTGTGTCGTCACCACGTCTGATGATTACATGTTGGAATAATATAAAAAACAAAACGTCATTCAATCAAAAACTGCCTGTCTTTTGTCCACCTTGATTTGCGAGTTTTGCAAATATTTGACTTGACTAAAAGACGTAATGATGTGATATTGACTGCAATCTTTCCCAGCGGCTATGGGCGAGTTGCGGGCAGACGCTCCTCCCAAGCCACAGCTGACCTTGTTTGAGGTGGACCCTGCGAGGCTGGAGATATGTGAGAAGATAGGAAGAGGTGCCTTCGGTGTCGTCTCCCGCGCACTGCTTCACCTCGACAACGAGACGACCAGGGAGGTCGCCGTCAAGACGTTTTCAGGTAACTGATTTTCTCTGCTAGTATGCGCGAGATGATGCGCGTCTTTTTATATATCATGTCAAATTTCAGAAAAGACTCCTATCTTGATGGACTTGTGGAACAGGTCATTAATATCTCGACTTTAATGGGTGTGCGCTAGCATGGTTTTCTCCAAGATATTGTGTGATTTCTGAGGTGCCCTTAACTTCTTCTTTGATGTAGGTCGTCACCAAAAGCTGTTTCTCCACGTCTGTTTATGTTCTATTCTTACATAAAAGAAAGATAAAAGAAACAGATGATGCAATGACTTCTATTGTCGTCCCTGCACAGCGAGCTCTGAAGAAGAGGACAAGCTGAGTTTCCTCCAGGAGATCCGGGCAGTGGTGGACCTGGGGACGCACGACAACCTGCTGGGGCTAATCGGCTGCTGCACGCTGGTGGGAGACCTTATGTATCTCATCACGGAGTTCATGCCGCACGGAGACCTGAAGAGTTTCCTTGGAAAGTGCAGGGATTTTAAGCAGAAGAATCCGGTAACTATTTTGTCAGCTTTGAGCGCTTTTAGGTATTTCGATCTTTTTATATTGTCCCTTTTATGGATAACACCTGTTCCATCCCCTCTGTAAACTTCGCACAGATACGACAATGCTCCTTCATTGGTAAAAGTACTCTCCAAGCAGACGTTTGGGTTATTTTTGGCGTGTTTTTAGTTGTTTTTTTTAACGCGGTTTCTTTTTTTGCACTGGAATTTTCTTTTCACCCGACCCGTGAAAGAAAATTCCAGTGCAAAGAAAAGAAACCACGATAAATAAGCCTAAAAATACGCTAAAAATAACCCAAAACCCAAATTTCTGCTTGGAAAGTATGGTCAAATGTCTACCTTAATTGTTCGACGCCCATGTAGCCACAACCACAGCCAGTTGTTAATACTCAGACCTTCAGTATAGAGCGGATAGATGTTGTGCAAACACGACAAGTGTTGATATAAAGAGTTATGGGTACTTTTCTATGCATGGTTCTCTATGCCCGAAGATGTGTGAAGTGAAAACTATTCTACCGACCGAGAACTGATTTTTCTTGTTGTTTATTTTTTTCTAGTACGTCCAGGTCGCGGTTGAGGGGTATTACAAATCATCCAACCGTATTTACAAATTTCAAGAGAAAGAGATGTACAAGGTCTCTTTGCAGATCGCGAAAGGAATGGTAAGTTAACAATAAATAATTATAAAATTTTGCTGTCAGGGTGTGAATCATTTAGCTAGCCAGGAACATCCTATTGGTTTCAAAGCTTATTTATAAAACTCCCGTCGGCTATATTGTGACATTTGTTTTTAGTACTGCGTACATGACTCTACTGACAACGCTCCATGCTTGTCCTTCAGGACCACATCGCTAAAGCTGACTACATCCACGGTGACCTGGCGGCACGGAACGTGCTGGTCGGAGACAACTTGCAGGTAAAGATTTCCGACTTCGGGCTGGCAGACCACATCTACAGCCGGGGGTACCGGCGGCAGGACCGGCTCCGGAAAATTCCGTGGAAGTGGATGGCTCCGGAGCGACTGACGGACGGGGAACGGTACACCTCACAGAGCGACGTGTGAGTTCAATATTGGACACATTATATAGTTTTATTCTTTGATAAACACTCTCAAAACAAGTGTTATGATAGGCTTAATCTGAGACTGTCGTGTTCATAGAAATGCTCTCTATGTACGAGTGAAGAACTGTGTTACATGAAACATTGTACGTTTCTGACATAACGCATAGTTGTGTAAGATTGGTAAACGTTACCTTCTTGCTCCTCACCTAAAACAGAATCTGTGATTTCATGCTAGCTGCAATCAACTTTTCTTTTAATGAAGAAAAAGCTGCAATTATTGTAGTATTCTGCAAAATTTCCTCAGGTGGTCTTTCGGGGTCATGCTGTACGAGATAGCCACGCTAGGGGGCAGCCCGTATCCTGACGTGCCCACAGCTGACCTGCCGGTTCAACTGAAGAACGGATACAGAATGCCACAACCTGCCGACTGCCCCCAACCCCTGTAAGTACAGATTAATTGTTTCCCAGTTGTCAGCATTCAGATAGCATAGAAAAATGTGCATTTGTTATAGAACTAGCCAAACAATTTATATCACAAGATCTATTATGTCCATTCATCTACGACTGCCTTAAGAAGCTACATGAAGTTGAACCTGTCTGTATAGATGTGAGATTTCACATTCTAATATCACTTCATCGATATCACCCTACTTCTAATACCATGAACTGGACTTCACTTGTAAGAGCAAAAACATACAAGAAAGGTCTCTTATTGTCGTTATTCTCATTAATGCCATTTAACTTTCTGCTAACAGACAAAAATGCGCGCGTGTGTGTGTGTGTGTGTGAGGGAAAAAACTTGTAGTAGAGATGTCTAATTCTCATTCCCCGCCTGGTCTCTCCCTAGGTACGACCTAATGCTGCAATGTTGGCGCCTCGACCCCGAGGATCGGCCCTTCTTCCACAGACTCGCCACGGAACTGGAGAAACTCTTCAACGACGAAGTTGACCTCGTGGAGAAGGAGACCAGTGTTTAGGTGTCCGTGTGGGGCAGTCAGAAACAAATTATTCACCTGTTCTAAGCACTTATAAATGGTGCATGCTATTAGATGGTTTCGTGAGTCCAGACTATCAGGTCATGTCCAAGCAGTTTAGCTCACTGAAGAGAAGAGACAGACGATATGTACAGTGTGTACAGGTTCATTTTACCGAGGATATTCTCAACCTTCCAACAAGCCAAGGATAGGGACTACAGATGAAACTGGACTACGCACTGAACTCGACAAGTACTGAACTATCAATACATCATAACTGTATATTTGTAAACATTATCGGTGTAGCATTGAAAATTCACATCACTATATGGCCGACACATTATTACATACATGTACATTTGTATCTGTAAATATCAAGGAGGTACTTTTCACGCAATCATGTGATAGCATGATAGATATTAACCTGCCAACGTTTCGATAATCATTCTGGAAAACCATTCCACTACTCTTCTCATGGCAACAATCTTATATTGTATGTGTAAACAACTTTCATTCTTATGTTTTCTGTCAGGGAATAGATTCATTCGGGTGAGTGGTGTATATACACATGATGAAACTAGTTACTGTTCTTACTAGGACATTACTGAATGAGTTACGTTTTCGATGAGTGGCTTATTGACTTGGCAAATGTCATTACAATGTAGTTCTTTGTACATGTCAATGTATCTTTCTTTCTCAATTATTTATGGTGAATCGTGTGAATCGTGCCACATTTTGGGAATATATGTCGCACGGAAATTTTGAAGTTATTTTTGACAAAGCGACCTACTTTGCGAACACATGACGAAAACTGCCTCCCAGCGCAGCGCAGCGGGCGGCTGAACCGGAAGTGACGTCACAGAACTTTTCTGCAGACGACAGTAGCTGTCAGACCTGAGTCACGGTGAGTCGCTGTGTTGACTTTTGACGTCTTTCCTCATTTTTCCCGTCAGGATGTATGTATTTTTTCGTAATGGTGAAATGTTATGTAGTTTCGGTCGTAGTAAGGCCGGTAAATTGGGCTTTATTTTGCACAAATTCTCCATAATGTCCACGCTACGTGGGCAGAGCATGTGGGAGAAAATATCATTACTGACAGTAGCCGTGGCGACTCTTGATTCGGGCTTGATTTAAGCCCGAATCAAGAGTCGCCACGGCTATACTGACAGCATCACTCAGTGCAGCGCGGTATAGAGAGAGCAGTAAGTCGTAGGCCTGGTCGCCAAAGCCAACATTTTTCTGCCAGCCAGTGTTCCGTTGGACTGGAAGGTCAGTTTGCACTCAGCAAGCGGGCCCAGCTTCACCCCACGGTTCTTACAGACGTTTTTGACGCCAAGACTGGGGAGGGGCGCTTGCATTCGTGTTCGGCGTCGTCTGCTAGAGTTCAACGTCAGCGCTGGGCGTCGTCTGCAATCGCCAAGTTCGCGTGCACTGTGAATGGCATTTTGCGGCAAAATAGACCAAGCCTTCAGTAAATACTTGGTCAAAAAGACGATATGACGTGTGTTTTCGTAAGTAGGATATTATACTACAGGTTTTTTTATCATGAGAAAATGCCTCAGACTCAGTGGTATGATGGGAATTCATGTTTGTTTACATACAACAAAGTTACAAGCATGCAAGGTATGAATTTATAGTGGTGGCGAATAATTTCTGGTACACATCATACAATAGTACATGTATTTATTATTAGTTATATGGCATTAACTACCAGGAGTTTGTGATGAATATAATGTATTGTCTTTAATGTTATTATACTTGTGAGGAAATGTGTAACAGATCCTAAATACATCACTGCTATTCATATTTCTAACAGTATGATTCAAATTGAAGAAAACAAAAAATAGCATGGCTTATCATTGGTGCATGCATGCAATGATTAGATAATTTGTACAACATCTGATTGTGCTTAATAAAACGTAATGGCATGCACCTATCATATATTACCACAATGATCACATTATACTAATGCTATGCTACAATGGGTCACATGTTAGAGTGAAACATGCAGTCATGAATTTCTTTATTTATTTAGTTGACACAATATGTAAGCTATGATAACTAGTAGACATCCATCCAAAAGTCAACATCTATGCCAAGCCTAAAATCTAAAGCCTTTGAAAAAATATAAAACACAATTGTAAAGCTTAAGCCAGATGCCTAAGATACAAGCTTCGATTATTTACCCTGTACATCTGGAGTCTCAATCATTTACTAAGTACATGTACCCTGTACAGCATTTGCTACATACAATGTATTCTGAATGCCTTGACAATACAAGTGAAGATTTCCACAAAGCTTAAACAAAGTCATATGGCCACACTAGGCCATTTCCTTTGTTCTCAGACATTTTCAAGTACAAATTGAAGCAAGAGAACTTGTCAAGTGGAAAATAGAAGTCTGTGAGAAAAAGTTGCAGCAGTTTTCCTTAATTTTTCTCATTTATCCAAAATATTCTAACTCCTGTATCAGACTTGAACAACTTTGAACGTTGTCATTCTGTCATTTGCTAAAATCTTCTTGCAAACGAACCAAAATTATGGCCACTTTGTCATATTACAAAAATGTACATCATGTAAAGCCAAGGAAGAAACCTGGATTGGAACATTTGCATTTGCCTTAGATATTGTTCATGGGAATGTTCATAGGCATTGTGTCTGCACTGCTTTTCCGCTTTCCACGGGAGTAAGCTTCTGAGGTGGAATCAGTTTGGTTGGACGAAGACTTCCCTCCTGAAGACTTGGTTGTACGATACTCGTCCACGGGACAGCCACAACACCTGAATGCAAGGAGAACCCTGAAGTATCGAGTAATAGAATCAAAGTTTAGCCACCTTATAACCCACAGAACTGCACCACTTAATTCATAGGAAGGGGGAAGGATAAAGATTCTTTTAGTCTGCACGCATGGATATAATATCTTGAAGTATTTGCTATAACTATGCATCTTTTGGAGAATTTTTTCATTCTGTCAAAATCTTTCAGTTGGAGAAAAGCGCTGACTATGCATAAGGACAGATTATGTAGAGTAGAGTGCACAAAAGACATTTAACAACATTAAACCTTCAGTCTTTCAAAGTTCTACTTACTTGAACCACAGGTTTTGGACTTCCTTTTGGCGTACACACTGGAAGATGAAAATGAAGAATCCTTGCAGGGAGTTGAAAATGCAGAATAAGTAGGAAAAGACAATCCTACCATCACTGCAACACAGAATAACAGTAATACAAAATCAATCAATTAGTCATCAATATTCTACTCCAATCTCCCTATTGAAAAGAACAAAACGAGCCATTCATTGGAAGCTAATGACAAAATTGACATAGAGATTTTTTCCTTCTGTACACGTGATAATAAAATTTGAAGATGTGGAGTTTGTCAAAGGATGAGAATATTACCTTCCACAAATTTGTTAACTATCTAACGTTCTAGATGATTTTAGCTTTTTTTTGCAAACAAAACAATACTTTTTCTATAAACTGTTCTTAGGGTTGCAAATGCTCTACTGATTACATCAAAAAGCTAGTTGAATTTTTGCACAACCTGTTAATTATAACAACATAAATGTCAGATCCAGCAGATCTAGATCTCTTATAACCTGATCATGAAGAATCCAAAGATCCAGGTGAGTCCGACCAGCACCATGACAGCGATGGCGATGCGCAGCTGCTGTTTGGTCCCACCTTGTCTGGGATCAGCAACTCTCCCTGGGAAAACAAAATCAGTCTTTCAGTCTTCATCCAATCACAACAATATAGTATGCAGCAAATCCTACCTATGCTGTCAGTATCAAATATTGTAGATCTGCACTACCTCGCACCTTGGATGGTAGATGCCTAATATTATACGGTTATACCTACATGTATAGACAAAGCATTGTTAATAGGCTGGACATACAGTAGTTGAAACCAATGGCACTCTGTGATATATGACAAGAAGTACGTCACTGGGGAATCAATTAAAAGTATATCAATCAGTTTTCCTTTACAGAAAAAATGATTTCAATATTGTGATGTGTTTCATGAGTTGGGGATAATAACCCTATAAAGTTGGGTACACATGTACCTTTATGTGGTTCACCCAGTATAATGTAAGAACTGACCTTTAGTCCTGCCCCTACAGACCAGCTTACTGATGACCATGATGTACACAATAGTGTTGAACAGTAGGATCAGTCCAGCAGGTAACAGGAACCCAAAGTACAGCTGGTTACCCTGCAGCCAGCAACTAGTCAATAACAAAGATCGCAAACATTATTTTCACATAAAAAACAGTGTTCACATAATGATACAACACTAGGTGATGGGATGGTAAATCCCAAAAAGCAACATTTGGATGCTCTTCTATGCTTGAAGAATATTTCCTTGAGTTTGGAGAATTGGGAATACCTGATAGCTGAACTAGCCACCTCCAGTAGTGTACAAGTCATAGTGTGCTGCAAGTTTTAGAAAACTTGAAGGCTGTCTGATACAGTGTGATAAACTAGGAAGAAGAATCTAAAGGATTTCAACATGATAAAACCCTCCATCATAACTTACAAGCTTGTGCTCCTGTAAGTCTCCTGTCCATCAGGATAAGTGCTTGGGACGTCCACAACCAGGGTAATGATGGCAATAACAAAGGGAAGACCTGAAAGATATACAATCATTTTATCCATTAACATATCAAGCTACAAAACAAAACAAAACCAAATCCTTAAATTCTAAGTACTGATGCACATGATGTATGTATGAAGTCCATTCTTTTGATCCTAAAATTATCTTGACCCAAGTACCTTATTAGTCTTTGTCATGTTCAACTGTTTTTCCAGTTCCTTCACATGTGACTAGTGTGGACTTGTGCTCTGAGTTCATTTAGTTAAGTAATACTGAAGAAGAGTGACAAAAGTCATCCCTAAGTTATCTCCTACATTTATCTAGTAGTAGAGTTTGATTTCTCTTTGAATATGTGCTATGATGCTATTGTACTCACCCCATGCTATGATGGCTGCCTTGAGGAGGAATTTTGACACATGTGCCCCCAAGACTTTTACAAAGGCCAGGTACATGTTGAAGGCTTCAATAGCCATCCACATGAACACAGCCAGGAGGAAGTAGTGCAGGAAAAATGCCACCACAGTGCAGCCAACAGGAGAACTGGTGGCACTAATGCCTGCCAGGAAGATGATGAGAGTTGCCAGTAGGGCCACACACAGGTTGATAAGGATGTGCTGTGGTCTGGTCTGACGAAGTTGTCTGGAAAAAACAAACAAACCCGATGTTGTTATGCCTCATACAGAAAGTATTGCAAGGGAAGGCTGTGAAAATTTTGGCACCATCAGTTTGATCTGATTGAGTTCCAGCATCATTAAAAATGTGAAAACACTTATTTACACAGGGCTGATTTCCATGGACATTTTACCACTAGTTTCAGCACCATTGAATGCTAACATAAGTTTCAGCACCATGGACAGGTTAGTACTTGTTTCAGCACTGGGTAAAACACTCATGTTCAGCAATGTAAGTAACATTTTTTAATGAAAATACATTGTACTGTAGAAATTTCAAAATAGACTACATGACATTCATTGTAACAAAGTGCAAAGTGTTCATAATACGATAAAGATGTCTTGATGGTCTAAAGTGAATTTAGAACTTACTTGAACACTAGATAAGTGATGAGTGTCAGGACTAGGCCTGTGATGGACAGGGCAATACCAATCTTACTGATCAGGTCCAGTGCAAAGCTGTGCAATCCTCCATAGATGTCCTGAAATATTAGGACATAATCGGGCATATTTAGAAATTTTTTGTATATTGTGCCTTTTGTTCACACCACAATTTTCATACCCCTATGCATCTAGACATTTAAAAATGGTGTTTGCTAATATGTATAATGGTGTTTGCTTTCTTGGGCATAAAATTGAAGGTGATGGTCCAAGCTATCCTAGATCCTTAATATAGGTTGTCCTCAGAGAGATCCACTCACTATTATGGTGATTCAAATAGAATCCTGTGCAAGAAGGCCCTTAGAAAGCCCAAATGTATTGCCTCATCTGTGTATGTCAGTGTTCAAATTTACGTTTCAGTTGATACACTTACAAATGCATTCTCTATTAACTTACCATCAAAACAGCAAAGTTGGTGAGATGGTTGCACTCACACACCACCCTGTTGTTGTCAATCCTAACAAAGTCACATCCCTCTGTAGACCAGGCTCCCCCTCCTCCAGCATTGAAGTCCCAAAACACACACCTGATGTTGTTCACTGTGGTGTTTGTACTGTTCCCAACCTGTGGAAAAATAACTTATGTCAATGATGCCTTACAGGAAAAGGCATTGTACAACTGTCTCCAAGAATTTCAGAGCCAAGATATCACAGGGCCCATTTTTCTCTGTTACTGCTGTTCATTTGTACTCTTGTTTTACTATATTGTATCACTGTAAATATGGACCAGCAGTACAATAGCAAGGAACTTTAAAAAGTTATGTAAGCATCATTGTATATAACCTAACAGATACAGATGGGAAATGTTTTGAGCTTTAGCTTTTGTAAAGTTAAGCATTGATATATGGTGGAGTAACGTCTAATGTGAGGTTCTTGTACATGTACAGTTGGTATATTTACTTACAATAGGAAGGTATCTTGTCACTACTGGGTTGGGGAGATTCTTGAGTGTAAACCCAGTGACTCTACTGGCGATAACCCTGCTGTTAATCCTGGTTTTTGTGTCGGCTGAGGAAGGAGCTGTCTGGTTGGACTGGAACAACCGGCTGCTGTGATAGATGATGTAACTCAGACGGACTTCCACATCTGTTGGATCTTGAGGAGAGAAAATAGACTTTAATTTTCCATTTACATTGAAAAAATGCTATCTTTGAAAGCTATCTGTCAAATGTGCATGTGATATGAAGCTAAAAGCTACAAAGACAAGTATAGTGAGAAAGCAAATCATTAACAGGCAATTTCTGAATCATTACCTCCATGAAATGGAAGGTATTGTTTTTGGCGCGTCTGTGTGCGTGTGTGTGTGTGTGTGTGTGTGTGTGTGTATGTGTGTTTGTGTTTCCGCTTTTTTGTACCTTCATAAGTTCATAACGCCTTCATGGATTGTGGTGATATTTGGTATGCTGGTAGGTGTTAGGGGGGGCGAAGGTCAAGGTCAAATATGGGCCTCCTGGTGGATGGCCTTGGTAGTGCAGCAGCACTTCCGGTTTAATGAGGAATCTGCCAGACAGGGTAACAGATGTCTGATTGTGTCGAGGCTGCCCCGGGCTTGCGACCTGGTTTGATTAATGAGAGGTTCTTCCTCAGGGAATTAGGCGACCTCTGTGCGCTATGATGTGGAAAATTTGAGTGTTAGGGTGGATGTACCCAGTGTTGATGTAATTTTGGCACTGAGATCTAGTTACCTCCATGAAAATGGAGGTATTGTTTTTGGCGCGTCTGTGTGTGTGTGTTTGTGTTTCCGCACATTTGTAGTCAGCATAACTCCATAACGCCTTTATGGATTGTGATGATATTTGGTATACTGGTAGGTCTCAGGAAGCCAAAGGTCAAGGTCAAATATGGGCCTCCTGGTGGATGACCTTGGTACTGCAGCAGAACTTCCGGTTTTTGTATCTTTTGTCCTGAACATGTTATGGTCTTGATTTTTGGGTGACAGATAGATTGTCCTGCCAGGAATAATTGGTGTGGGTTTGGTCCCCCTAGCAGCTTGTTCTGGAACTGCAAGGGACTTTCGGGGTGAAATCTTTAAAAGCCAATAGGTCCAGACAGGAACAATGTATTTTCATCATTTTTGGTAGGTAAGTAGCTGAGAGAGAGATGTACATAACTTGATGCAAATTATGCAAATAGGGACTTTATTTGCATAATTAATGAGGAAATTCTCTAATTACAGTGTTTTACATTGTAGTACTTTCATACATGTAATGTATGTAATCCTTGGCAGATGGAACATCAACAGATACCAATTATGCAAATTATGACCTCATTTGCATAATTAATGCGAAAATTCTATGGGTTAATGATGGGAATTCTCTACTTGGTACATGTGTAAATTAATAAAAAGTTAACATCACGATACATATATTATGTTAATGTGGAGGTCATTTGCATAATTAAAGAGGAAATTTACATTTACAAGTCAAGCCCATATTTCATGGAGGTATGTGATCTCAGATCTCTTGTTTTATTTGGTGCTAAAAGACCCCAAAATCAAAAGAGGAACCAACCAATGATGTTTTCCTTGAGGAAAGCAACAACTGATCCCAGCTCTTCAGGCAGAACTATGGAAGCATCCACTTGGTCATAGGGGATGAAGGATGAGTCAGAGTAGGACTGTACCAATCTGTCCTGTAGGTATCCACTGCCTTCAAGGGATGCAAAACCAACACTGAAAAGAAAACAGCAAAAGGCATTTTAGACAAATCTGCTGCATAAAGTGGCAAGTGACAGTATACATTTTTCATTTCTTTTTCACTAATTGCAGATGGCATACTGGGCTTTGAGGTGACCCAAGTTATTTGCCATTCAAACCTGCAATACAAACAACTAGAATTTGGTGAGAATTTTTTCTGGTGTAGGCCAATTGCTAAGCTGAGAAGACCTAATAAAGTACAATTACAAGTAAGTTTTTCTGGTGTTAGAAATGTTTAGCTGTTTACCAAGTCTTCTGCCATTTTTGTTTATCTATTTGATCATGTTGGCAAGAAGTTATGGTCACCAAACACAGACAGACAACAAGATAATATCCTGCCATACAATCCACAGCCATAGCATTCCATTTGTCTGTTTCTGTGATTGTACCTGTTGATCAGTTCTGCAGCTCCAATCTGGTAAGTTTCCACCCCGATGTTTTGTTCAATGCGGCGGAAACGATTTGTTGTCAGATTGACACGATCGTTGAACTGCTCAAGTGCCTGTACAATTCTGCAACAATAAATGGATAACATCGTTAACACTAATATCCCCAATGATCTTTTAACAATGGGTTTAACAATAGAAATGTTCCAGCCATATTTTCATCTACTTTCATGATATCAAATATATTTTGTACCTGGAAGGAGCTTGGTCCTTAAGTTGACTCTGATAGAGGATGCCATCATCAGCATTCATTATCTGGTCAACAGACACAACCAAGGAATAGCCAACCTGGAGATTCAAGCAGACATAAAAAAGTCTTCTAAGTTACGAAATAGACTATCTTATGGTACAGAGGTTAGTTTGTAGCAACTTCTTTGCTTTAAGTATAAAGGGCTATTTCAGATTTCTTCCAGGACCTGTGGTACTGTCTTAAGTTTCTTTTCAAATTCTTTAAGTAGCCATTGATCTGTGCATGCAAGCCTACAAGTTTGAAGTACACTCTACAGAAAATTTTGAAATAGTTACAGTGATTTTTGCAGTGACATGTCCAACATGAAATCATTACATCATGACTAATGCAGATTTTCTGTCAGTAAAACCAACTCAGCAAATGTCTCCCTTTCCCCGACTCCCCACAAAATTAAATCCCCCCCTAAGTTTCAGTAGTCTTGGCTCCACCCAGAATCATAGTATTGGTACTCACATTCTCGTCTCCTCCTGTATTTGCAATGTTGCCCACGACAGTGGCAGTATCATTGATGTTTTCTGCTGTAAGTGATCTTCCATCAGATGTAAGAATCTGTAACTCTGCAGCAACTTGTGCTACATTATCTGAAGTAACAGGCACCTGCAAAATCAAGAAATAAACTACATGTCTCTATTGCCATCTTCAGTTAGGATATAATATATGTATGTATTAGTAAGTGTTTGTGGGAGAAATATCATTTGAAAATAGGTTTTGTAGTAATGTGAATTTTTAGAATTTCAATGATGTTGAACCAGTTTAGTTACTCAGTACTTTATGCCTTTTGTTTAGGAAGATAATGCTTTTAGTCAACAAATAGTTAGGTAGTTGCTATTGTGATGAATATGTTTCAGCATTTTTGACATCCATCCTGCAATTTACATGTACATGTGCATGTACAAGTCAGAAATTGTGAATTACCTGATGCCCATACTTATTATCATCAGATAAATAAAATGTAGCTTTGTCCAACTAAGTCTGATGACAACCCATGGTTACATGATACATTACCTGTGCCAGTTTGGACAGGTCCAGTCCACAGTCCAACATCTCTGGGCTTGCCCAGCTCACTCCAGTCTGAAAGGTTCCCATGCACCTTCGGACTGCCAGTGGAATACCAGCTGGACATTAAAAAAAATGAAACAATCAAAATATGTTTACCCTATCTTAGACCTTAGTTTCTTCCCCACCACAACACATTAGAACCATACAAATCACTGCTGACTTATATCCATAAGATTTATAATGTAAATACTTTCATATTGATGTTGCAACTTCCCTTGTCTACAGCTTACATTGTAGTATTGGAACCACATAGTGAAGAGTTTACTTACCACTTTCTGTGTTGTTGGCACACCTTTGAGTTGAGTACATGTGTGTGTCTCCTGTAGAGCTTGGAAAAGTCAGGCTCACACGATTGGATGTTGAGTTTGTTGCAGTCACTGTTTCACCGTAACATGTTGCTGTGGGATCAATCGTAACTAGTGTTATCTATGTTTGATGACATAGTGTACAATGTGTATCATGGAATTTGTTCAGAGTGCCAGATTATGATGGTTCAACAACATATACATTGTATGTGTACTAGTATGCATCCCACTTCTGCATAGGGACCACATACATGTGTATGTCATATGTTGTACAACAATTTCTACAAGAAGGCTCAACAAATTGGATAGCATGGAGGTAAGGGTAACCTCAGGATATAGGGACCACCTGGTCATTGTGGCCACTCCAAGTGGTCCCTTACACTATTTTTAATATTGACACTTGACACACCAACAAGTGTTGTCCCTGTCCTTAGTGCTGAATTTCACACCAACAACATTATAAAGAGTCATGTCTATATTATGATCTAACTGTTGTCCCTGTCCTTAGTGCTGAATTTCATACCAACAACATTATAAAGAGACATGTTTATATTATTTAACTGCTGTCCCTGTCCTTAGTGCTGAATTTCACACCAACATTATAAAGAGTCCTGTCTATATTATCTATCTTTTGTCCCTGTCCTTAGTGCTGAATTTCACACCAACAACATTATAAAGAGTCCTGTCTATATTATCTAACTTTTGTCCCTGTCCTTAGTGCTGAAGTTCACACCAACAACATTATGGGTCCTAATATTATCTAATTGTACTGTCCAAGAAGACAGCAAGAGTTTGAGATTGCAAGATTCTAACAATGGGAAACTTAGATAATGTTACTAAGATTTTAGGGGAAAATTCAAAGCTAGCAATTTTGAAATCAAGATGAAAGAATGTTAAGACATACTTGCACTTAAGAGTGTGAGACTGTTTGGATCCACCCCTAGAGAACTAGGAGCCTGGGCAGCTGTTCTGAGGGCGTTAGAGATACCGTCATACAGGTCCCTGTCTTGGAGCACAGAATCCTGCACATTTATGTTGTTACTTGCAATGATACTTCCTGGTCTGCAAGAAATATATGATAGTCAGTTAAAAACCTTTCAAAGGTACATGTAGACTAGCCATGACTAGCTAAATGCATAATCATAATTAAGTAAAAATTTCAAATCATCCATTGCCCCACTGAACTGGCCTAACTTTAGGTTGATTCATTCAGTATCCACTGCCTTGTGCAACAAAATATCAGGTAACAAAAAATAAAATAGCAGTAATATCTTTTCTTGTTAGTTTAATACTTAAAATGTTAATACTTCAACTATCATGCACCTTCTAGATATGAATTACTTAGTTCATAACTTCTGTGGCTAAAAAATGAAAATATTGGGAAGCCTGGACTTATTATGGTAAAACTTACTTTGCATACTTTACTCTGATGGATTTCTGGCCTTGGACACTATTCACAGCTGGATTAATCTGAAAAAAAAGAAGAAAAAGAACAATATTCTCATAAATTATTGATCAGGTCATGATTATCAGAAAGATGTACAGGCACATTCTCAGCAGTGACCTTCATGTAAGTAGTAGTCAAGTACATTTGAATTCTTTTGGTTCTGTCAAAATTTGTCCCAGACTATGAGGTTGCATGTCAACAAAAGTATGACCCTGCTAATGTTATACAGACAATTGGAGTAGTCTTACCCAGTCCTTGATGTCTTGGCTGATGTTCTGGAAAGCAGCTGAACATGGGTCTGACATCTCAGGGGTGAAGTTCCTGCCTGTTATCCTGATACCAGAAACAAACGTCATGGTGCCTGGAAAATATTTTGTTATCGCTTCATTGTTGATTCAAAATTAAAATGAAATGGATCTACTGCTGATCTGAATTGGGTTGAAAAGGTAAATGGAATTACTGATACTAGCTCAAAATTCATGTTTGGTATATACAAGTTACAATTAGACCATTCTTGTTGTGAGTACAGTAGCGAGAAATTACAATCATGTCATTTAATGAAGAATCTAAAAAGTTTTTTTGAACATCAAAGAACACAAACCTTCTGGGAGCACAGTCACAGTGCTGTCCTCAGACTCTGTCTCACCACCTGAACTTGTCACCTTACATTTGATCTTGTGAACACCACTTACAGCATCATACCTGCAGACAGGCAGCCAACAAAATCACAATACTTTGATCCTTACTTTTGCCAAAAGGCTTACAACTAACAGGCTTAACAGAAGTATTATGAGACAGAATAATAAGAAACTTTCCATCATTTATTTGAAATGCAGTACATTACACTGACTTCCAAGAACAAGTTCTGAACTTAAGTATAATATCATCATGCATACTAGAAGAAAAAGAAGCAGAGTTATTGAACTACCAATATCAATGTACCAACCTGAAGACAGGACCTCCCTGGTTTGGTACCACTGTTCCATCCACTGTCCACTGGTAGTTATAATCAGTGGGAAACCCTGTGGTGTTACATGTGATGGTGACAGACTCTCCCACTACCAGATCCTCAATCTCTGAAGGACATGTACTCACCTCAGGGGGAACTATTAAACAAACAAACGAAAACAGTAAAACATTTTTGTAGTTTAATGCTATGCAATATAAATTGATTCTGTATTGAAGAATGATGTAAAATATATAATCATCCTTATGTAATACTTAGCATTGTCAATGGAAGTTTCAAATTCAAATTTTTACTAAGTGGGAAAATTTGGTAAACTAAAACAACACAAGAAGACACTTTTCCCAAAAACTTTCAATTGCTTAGTGTACATACATGTAATTATATAACATTGTATGATTGATAGTGTCACATCCCAAAACTGAAAAAAAACTTTATAAAAGCTGTAATGTTTGATTTTATTTCATCAGAAAACAAGTCTAATCACTTGAGTCAAAATTGTTGAACACTTTGGATGCATGCAAAAATCATTAGCATTGTAAACATTGCCTCAGAACTGTCATGAATTCCTTGACACATTTGATGAAAGTGTCCTGTAACTCACCAAAACATTTCTGGTACTGCCTGGTCACCAGGTCTGGCCCAACACAACTGTCTCTATCTGGCACTGCCTTCCTGGCAACAAGCCAGTCAGAGTACCTGCAATGATACAAAGTATCACAACAATTTTCATAAGTCCACCATGGTACCTTATCAAGAATGTCTAGAACAACTGGTATATCTAAAGTCTGCATTTCTTCAGGATTTCTAATGCTGCATTTCGCCTTTTTTACAATCTAAGGGTATTCAGCAAAATTATTAGAGTTGATGTTAGCTAGGGTTGCACATTATTTTCTTTAAGAATATTACAAAAGTGAAGACTTTAGAATAGTGAAAACAATATCCTATTCTTCATGCATAATGTAAATCTGACTGTACAAATGTATGTAGCAAACTCAAAGCTGTTTATAAGGCCCCAGCTATGACTAGAATCATTAAATCCCTCACAGTGCTTGCATGATGTGGAACTTACCTTTCCTGGCAAGTTGGCATTGGCATGCCTTGCTCTTGAATTCCTAAGGTCTCACCAAGGACATTATTATATAGAATGTCACTGAAATCATTTGGTATGATGTTCCTAACACCAGCGGTATTACAGGGCGCAAAAATGTGTCCCATTAACTGGATGTCTGGATAGTCACATAATATAGATCTGTTTGACCCCTCTTCTGTGATGTCCACTTGTAGGATATCATTCTCTGCTACATTCACAGGTTCAATCATCACATTCAGGGTTAACTGTTCACCATCAGCTTCTATCAATCCCAGCACATTTGGATAGACGTTTTGGTGGAGAATGATGGTTTGTTCCACTTCTGCACGTTTAAAGCGGTTAACTGATGACTGACTGTCAACATCTGACGCCCGGACATTCCGTCGACGAAGTGGCTGAATTGTTTGTTTTCCCTGCCACAGTATAGTGACATTGAGATTTACGGCGCCTGCTTTACCATTACTTGGTATCCATGACAATGATTGCCATTCATACAGTCGAAGCTGCAGCTGATAGATGCTTGTGTTCTGCTGTACAACAAACACCTGCGGCATACAGACTTCATATGATTCTTCACTGTACATTGGATTGTATCTAAAACCAGCAGGTGAAGCACATTCCCTGAACAGCCGGGTCTCAGTCTGCTGTAGCTTTGTACACGCCAGTCCTGCAGAGGCAACGTGTGTTCTGTTTAGTGCAATCTTATGTTTATGATATACATGTGAGAGCAAACTGAGCTGCAATGACTTTTCTACTTAACGTCGGAACTGTATTAGATTTAGGATAACTTTGAAATTCATTTTGTTCAATGTTTAATATGTTTTATAGATACAAGTGAAAAGAATTCCCCAGTTCCTTTAAAGATTATGAATAGGAACTTACCCTGTAGCTCCAAGCTGGCAGTTGCTGTGACAGTCTGATTGAAGAACTCCCTCTCTTCAATAACACAGGTATAGCTGGTGAAACAATTAGCATAATGATAATTATGATTGTCAATGTTAAATTAAAGGCATACTTAACATTTCATCTTTTGAAACATAATTTGAAAAAGTATAATGTTAAGATAATATGTAACAATATAAGCCTATAATTATAAACTGGATAGTGTGTGAATGAGTGATCATATGAGCAACTTTGTGTATGTCCTAGTGGATCATTCTAAGCTGTCAGTCATAATTCACACCTTGATTCAATGGCCTAAGTTTGATAAGAATGATTCTTCCACTTACATCCCGGTATCGGCTGGAGTCACAGAGTTGAACACAATGGTGTTTCTGTCAGAATTATTGACTGGTTTGTCGTTCTTCAACCATCGTACAGAAGGTGGGGGGCCACCACTAGCCACACACACCAGCCTAGCAGGCTGCCTGTAGACTGCCTTAACTGGAGAGGTGATGTACCGTAGAGCAGGCCGTACTGGTAAAAGTGAACATACAGTATATATGTCAAGGTTTGGAAACGTTAAGAAAGACTCATGCAACAAACAATATTGCTATTATAAACAAGTAGGTATGGTACAACTTGAATCAGGTCAGTAATTTTTTCGTTTATCATTCTGCTTTTTCCTACACTTCAACTTGATAATACAATCATGATGAATAAGAAGATATTTGAAATTGCAGATATTGAAAACAATTAAATCTAAGGACACACTTACCAAAGCATTTCTGGTATTTATCAAGAAAGGACTGGTCCAGGTAATATTTTTGGCATGATCCTGCCCCGCCCCTTTTTGCAAGTTTTGTCCACCAAGCTTGGAATGCCCTCAAGCATCGTCCATTTCCACCAGGGCTGAAGTCACAGTTTCTCTGATAGGCCTGTACATCGTGGTATAAAAACTCAATGTAGAGTCAAATTAATAATAGATTGAAGCAAATGGTAGAAGTTGCTCTGTCGTAACAGTAAAATACAGTACATGTACAAGACTATTTACATTTACTAACTGTAATGAATTATGTATACTTTACATGCAAGATTTTAACTGTTTTCTTAGTTAATAATTCTTATAGTTTAAATTGAGTAATGTAAAGAAATTTTACACCACTCATATGATAAGTCTAAAAAAACATTTTTCTTACTATCCTATTGTTTAACACAGTGGACAAGCTGATTGTGAAGTAGTAAAAGAAAACTTGATTAATGTTTCAGAGTAAATGTTCCAAACAACACACCCATAACTTGAGCCCCACACATGCTGAACAGTTCCGGTTCACAACTGGTGAACTGTCTGACTCAGACAGCTGCAGCTGTAGGGTGATGTTCACATTCTGTCCTCCATGAACTACAAGCGGCCTGGAGAAAAACAGTTCCACTATACCTCTGGTCTCAACAGTTACCTGAAAAGCAAAAGGATATCTCATGTTTGATCAACTTTGTCAAAGCCATGCTATTACAACACTCAAATAATGTCTTTGCTGCTGTCAATCTACTGGCAAATTTGAGCCAACTTAAACATAATGATCTCTTTTCATCTTCTTGACAATTCTAATTTGTTCTGATTCTTATCCATAATGTCCAATATTATTCAAATGCATCAGGAAGATTAGTTACCTGACCAGTGGCAGTTACACTGAAGACTTGCCCCTCCCTGTTGTAGGTTACTTGTGCATTAAGTGTCCCAACTCCAGCTTGTCTGAGACTTCTGTGGTACATGGGGAACTGGTCCCAGTCAACTCTCACCTGAAAGGGAATGCAAGGAAAGAAAGTTAGATTCTTTGAAGCATCTCTTTCCATATCAAATTGATGGAACAAATTAATTTAAAAAGCAAAATTTGATATGACAATTTGATATGGACAATTCTGGGAAAAATGTCTCTCAGAAATATGATTAATCATTTCATTTCTTCTTCTTTGTTAACTAATATTAATTACATTAAAAGATTAATAGCTTGTTACATCTCACTACCAATATACCACATTATTATTACAGACCAGATATTACCAAAATGTAATCAATAGATTTAGTTTTATCAACATATCACTTGAAACATACCGAGATTGCTTGTATTTTTTCTCTGGTTTCAGAGAACAACACAAAAAATGGATAAGTGCCATCCTCTGTAGCCTGGAAAAAACACAGCAAAAAAAAAAATTCAGAGTTTAAGTCATACATTGTACTTTCCAAATTCCAAGCAATGATTCCCATTTACTAACTTGGACCATTTTATAAATTAAAGATTGAAATGAAAAGTTGTCTGGTCCTTACAAAATCATTTGTCATACATGTACCTGCAGTACTACATGTTTTTAAAGCAATTTGTCACATATCATGCAGCTATATTCTTAACATGTTAGCACAGAAGCCTGTCGAGTGAGATATACCTTATTTTCACCACAACTCTACTTTGTCTTGATAGGTTGTTATAAAATTGGCTTGTTTCTGACAAAATTACAATCATATTGTACCCTTTCTCATACTTAAGAGTTACTGCGTAAAAGGCCTCCATCATACGAAATATTATTTAGTACCATTGCAAAATATTTCATCACAAACCAAAATGAACATCTAAACTTAGAACTTTAAAAAGTTTTGTCATGTTTTTTTTTACTCACTCTTGTCCCACGTGCTGGCCACTCTCTGACACACAATCCTTGCATAGGTGTAAACAGACTCTGGATATCTCTACATGTTACAGTTCCTATGAAGAAACAAGATGCGTAGAAGACAGCATATAAAATCTTCCTGACATTGCCTTACATGATGAAATGTTTTTAACAGACAGAACTTTCTAAAGTTCATCATAAAGAAAGGTATCAACACCTGAGCTAACCATTATGATACACATAACAAATGCATGAGTTCTTCAGCAGTGGTAACAAAAGCATGAAGTACAAACCTTCTGGAAGCACTGTCACAGTTAAGTCCTTAGACTCTGTCTCACCACCTGAACTTGTCACCTTACACTTGATCTTGTGAACACCACTTACACCATCATACCTGCAGATGGATGATAACATCAAGTATATCATTTTGCTCTTCAAGATATCAGACTAGCACTCAATATGTATGAACAGCTCAGGACTTATGCATTACAAGATATGTCAAAATCTAGCTTAATGTAATTGTTATATTCATGATCAAAGCAGTTATTAATTGGTTGTTTACAATGTTTACTTCAGTACAGAGGGGTATTTGGCCAGGCTAATAAGGCAATAGTAAAATCAGAGTCATTTAAAAGTACCAACCTGAAGACAGGACCTCCCTGGTTTGGTACTACTGTTCCATCCACTGTCCACTGGTAGTTATAATCAGTGGGAAACCCTGTGGTGTTACATGTGATGGTGACAGTCTCTCCTACAATCACCTCCTGTGCTTTTGAGGGTCCTATGAAGACCTCAGGGGCAACTTAGTGGAAAAAGGAATACATTCAGATTGGTAAAGTTATCAAGTTTTCAGAGATATTCACTTTACACCAAACTTACTCATCCTTAACATTTTATTTCTCTTTAGTTTATTCCTGCCTAGTTTCCGAAACAATTTCCTTTTTTTGCAAATTTCACAAATTTGTAAAATGTGTAAAACTTCACAAATGTACAAAGCTAATAGGTCCCTTACCAAAACATTTGGAGTACTGTTGGGTCACAAAGTCAGGTCCAACACACTGGTTACCATCAGGTACAGCTTTTCTGGCAGCAATCCATTCATTAAACCTGCAACCCATTATTACCATCAAATCAACCAAGTTGTAAATAGTCAACATCATGCTTGCCCTCCAACAACTGCTCCAGTCTAAAATTTGAATATTAATACATTTGATATTAATTTCTTACACAATATTTAACACTCAACCATTCATATTTTTTAGATCTCCTCTATAGACAAAAAAGTAAACGAGAAAAAAAATGCAGTTGGTAGTAATAATAACATTTTTCTTCGCTAAATCAGGAAAGGGTCCATAAGGCCACACCAATTTAATTTCTTGGTTAACGGATTCGCCTCTTCATTTTTTTCTGATT